GTAATTTTTTTAGTGTTTTGTACCATCATAACATTTTGTCACCATGCCAGCCTCAGGTTGGGAATTCCCACTTGCATGGTGCTGTGCGCTGAGAAGGACATTTGGCACAAGGCGATCAGCCGAAGGCAACAGGTCATGCAGGAGCATGAATCCATGGCGAGGACAGCCTTCCAAATGAGCGCAGAGCTCGTCAGTTTGAAGGCCTCTGTGTTGCGAAAATCAGTTGTGATTGATTTGTTTTTTCCAGATTTTTTACGCGGCTTTCTAGCATCGTCAAGTTTGCAGGCCATGCTCGAATCTGTCGAAAACCGTCGGCTCCAAGACTCTGAAGTGGCTGCCCTGGTCAAGACCTACCCCATCACAACTGCGAAGACTTCTGCGAATTCCAACGGCGGCATCTTCACAGAGTGGAACTTCACCGCTGCTGGACATGTCATGCGGCAGCTTGGCTCAGATGACGAGGTCTTGGAAGTGATCCGAGTCTTGGAGAGCAAGCATGGACTTGACAGCTGCCTGAACAGCTTGGTCAAGCTTGAGAAGCTTGCCACTAAACCCAGTGGCAAAGCTGCCAGGCGCTGGATTTTTCAGATGCTCTTGGACCATTTGGAGCATGGGCTGGCAGAGAACGAAGACATCAGCAAGAAGGCGTTGCTGGGAGACAAGCACACGGCTGGTCTCGTGGTGTTGTGGGAGTGGAAGATGAAGCTTCTCAACTACATCTGTGACACCCTCATGCTGCAGGCCAAGATCTCAGAGACTGACCGGGAGGCAATCAAGTCCAGATGCCGGGATTGTCCTTCAATGCGGCAAGCCTGTGAAGACAGCGTGCAGTGGCAGGCTAGCATGTCCAGGTCCGGGCAAGAGGCTTTGCGTTTCTTCCAGGATGTGGTCTTCCTCAAAACGTTCGACAACTTGTTGAGGGGCATTTGCAAAGGAGTCAGCACCAATCCGGAGGTCGTCTTGGAATTGGACTCCATCAACGAGCGCTGGCAGCAGGTCATCGCAATGCGCCAGAACGAGCTTGCCCAGAACCAGGCAAAGGAAGCGGAGCTCAGCGACGGTGAAGATTCTCAAGATGAGGAGGCTTTGCTGACAGAAGCCAGGAAGGCCCCAAACACTCTGAAGCAAGGCAGCCCGAGCTATTGGAGAGCAGTTGCCAACAAGTCAGTCAGGATGTACTTGACCTTCGTCACGGAAGGCAAGAATGATTCTCAGTTGCAGCTCCAAGTTTCCCAATGGCAAGCAGCGACTGGCCTGCAGCCTGAAATTGGAAAGAAGACCCTGTTGGTGCACCTCGACACCGCGCTGCTTGGAGAATCTTCTGGCCCTCACTGCCAAGCGGAGCTCCGAGGCAAGCGCTGGAAGCCAGCTGCTTGGCTAATTTTTTTTTTGGGACATTTTTTTCAGTCAAAGAGTCCACACTGCGGTTTCAAAATTTTCATATTATTGAGCGGCTGCTGACTGAGGACATTGACCTTGTCGAGAAGCTTGCTGCTTGCCCTTGCATCGCCTTGGGGGCACAGTCAGTGGAGAAGGTTCGTTGCTCTGTGCCTGCCGAAGGGGTTGTGGTGGCTGTGGTAGACCCGCTGAGCGTTGGCCCCAAGCTCTTCAAGGAAGCTTCCAAGCAGTCTGTGTGGCTGATGTTCAATGAGAAATCGGTTCGTGAAAGGAAGCAGATTGTCAGAGCGGGCGCCTACAGCCAGCAGATGCTGTGCAACCTCTACAGTGAGAAGCCATTGAGTTTGACCATGCCCGAGGTTGAGCGCAAGATCTATCCCGGCTTTAGCCACGGCGACGTCATCGGGTACATTTCTTGCTTGGGCCCTTCGAAGCTTTGGCGAGTTCCCAGGCTGGTGGTTCTTAGCTTTAGCTGTTTGTCGTGTCAAATATAGTCAGCGTTTTTCAAAACATCTTCGCTGCCCCATTGTCAGGAAGGACAAGCTCGACATCCTTGGCAGCCGGCACGTGTTCATTCCGGCCAACTCAAGCCAGCAAGGCGACGGCCAGCCGGCAGAGGATGCGGCAGGAGCTGGAGAGCTTGAGAGCGTGTTCAGTTGCTCCATGCTGCCGGTCGAGTACTACATGGAGATGGTCCATTCCCTGAGCTGCATCGGCATTGTCGACACATCTCCAGCACAAGGACCGCAACCCGTGTTACTTAAGTCATTGGTTTTTTTAACTTCATCGGAAAATCTTGCAGGAGAGCTCCTGAAAGCAGCGATGTCTTCTCGCACTCCTTGTCTTGCAATTTGCGGGACGGATGGACATTGCAAGAAGCTTGAGATCATGTTGACGGAATACATCTACGAAGAGCAGCAGCGGGATGGATCCACCTACTACATGCCTGAGATGACGGTCAAGAGCCAGAATGACGAGCCCAAGCCCAAGTCAAAGGCCAAAGCAAAGCCGGTGACCAAGAAGCGCCCCAAGAAGAATGAGACGGCGCCGGGTGACGGTGACGAGGAGGCGGAGGCCCAGGGCGAAGAGCCTGAGCAGAAGAAGCCCAAGACGACGAAGAACAAGACGAAGAAGAAAAGTGTCGAAGACGAGGGCGCCGCCTCTGACGGTTCAGGGTCGAGCATGGCCTGGTAGATATTTTTGGCGTCGCTATTAACTTGTGACGGGTAGTATCATTGTCACTGAATCTGTGACAGTGCGGGGAGCCTGCAGTGAGAGCACTGCGCTGGCCAATCTTGATCTTTATGTCGTTTGTTCTCCTGACTGATGCGCAAAGGAGGATAAAAGCTGTTGTGTGCGTTTTTTTGCTGTGGCCACTGTGAAAGCTGTTCAGAAATAAGTTTTGCCACAGCCTCGGCCTGACTCACGACTAAGTAACTTTAAATAATTTAACGGTTCCTCCTCACTTGGCTGTACCCACTCCCACGGCAGCCTTGGCTGTAATGTTTGTGTCATTCGTTTGAAGAGCCTAGCCATGAAGTGGACTGACCTTCTGGCCTTAAGGCGCACTTTGCGGGAGTTCGTTGATTGGGATGACTATGTGGTGCACGAGATGGAACGCCTCCGCAATGGCCTCTACTACACCGCACAGCTCTGCGATGGCAGCGCTGTGCCTGCACTCTCCTTGTGCCACGACGTGTTGACCAACTTGCGCTTTGGCCTTCCTCACATCACACAGGCTGAAGACTTGGAAGAAGTCCCAATGTCCGTGCTGCGTTTTCCACATCGAGAAGTACCAGGCTTTGAAAACTTACCAATGTTTGTGCGGTTCAATGAGCTTGGGCAGACTAGGCCTCAGAGGGATCAATCCATGACTGAGGCTTTGGCCGCCGTGGGAGACTTAGGCATTTTCATCAAGGCTGCAGAAAGATGCGGCGGCCTGGAAGAATTCCAAGATGACTTACAGGTCGCCTTGAAGACGATGTCGGAACTTGCCCGTGCATATGCAGATTACTTGGCGCCCTGGATTTGAATGGCATGTGTCCCTGCAGCAGTTTAAAATGACAGGTTAGTCGTCTCCTTCGCTTTAAAAATTTAGAGTGGCAAGGAGGCTTAAATAATAAGAAGTCTCCTGAAACCCCAGTTACATCTGACAAGGAAGCTTACACCAGCTAAGCCTCCTAAATTTGAATTGGTTGATACATGATAATCGTTCAATGTCAAGGAGGCAGCCAGCTGCCTCCTAACTTGGGAGGCGCCAGTTAGTTTGCTGGAGGGCGCCACCGTGCGCAGCGGGGAGGGGCTGCGCACTAAATAGTCTTACACAAACAACATCAAAGGGCAACAGGGGCAACAAACAAGCTTCGGCAAGACAAGTGGGGGACAAGTGTAGAACCATGCAGCTCAGAGCATCCACAGCATACTGGGAGACAAGTGGAAGGCAAGTGCAGCATCATGGGGCCCAAAGCACCCGCAGCGCGAGTCATTCGGCCCAGAGCACCTACAGCACATTGGGTAAGTGGGAGATAGTCTAGAATCAGGAGGTCCAAAGCATCCACACCTTTCTTCGAAAGCGGAGAACCAGGCAGCCAACTTGGAGACAGTCGATCCAGCGCAGAGCCTGGGAGAGGGAGACAACTAGGAGACAGGTGCAGCACGGGAGACAAGCGTAGACTCATGCGGCCCAGAGCACCCGCAGCGTACTTCGAGACAGTGGGAGTCAAGCGGTGGGCAACCTGGCGACAAGTGTGGGAGAAAAGGGGGAGACAAGTGCAGAATCATGTGGCCCAGGGCACCCAGAGTCAGAAACAAGTGGGAGACAAGCGGGGTACAAACGCAGAATCATGCGGCCCAAAGCATCCACAGACAAGTGGGATACACAAGTGCAGAATTATGCGGCCCAGAGCATCCACAGCATACTTAGAGACAGTGGGGGACAAGTGGGAGACAAGGGAAACAAGTTTAGATTCAGGTGGCCCAGACCGCCTTGAGCGTATATGGGAGAGAAGTGTAGGTTCATGTGGCCCAGAGCACCTACAGCATACTGGGAGATGAGTTGGAAACAATTGTAGCACCATGCGACCCAGCGCTTCCAAGGAATGGCAAACAAGCCGGAGGCAAGTCGGAGAAAAGTCGGAGACAAGCAGAATCATGCGGCCCAAAGCACCCACAGCACACTGCGAGACAGGTGGAGAGAAATGGCAGAAGTGGGGGAGAAAAGTGTGGAACCATGCAACCCAGAGCATCCATAGCGTACTTGTTACTTGGAGACAGTGAGACGCAAGTGGGAGACAAGTGTAGAATCACGCGGCCCCGATCACCCATAGCATCCTAGGAGAGTGTACTGGGAGAAAAGCAACGCCCAGGAACGCAAGCCCGGAGATGGAAGCAAAATCATGCAACCCTTTCACAGGAGTAAGAAACCCATACAGGTAGCTCAAAACATTTAGTTGAGATTGCAGCCTGCCTTCACAAGTTCTTGCTCAATCTTGTTTTATATAACATGTGTGCTGTAAATCTTTGTTGTGTTGGAATGATCAAGGCATAGGGCGCTTCATTTTGTTTGCAATATATATTCAAGGACCACAATCGCATTATACCAATTATTCCCTGCCACGGGGGGAGGGGGGGTTGCAGGCCTGTACCATATATATATATATATATTACTATATATATATAACTATATATATATATTACTATACGTATATAACTATATATATATTACTATATATATATATTACTATATATATATATATATATATTACATTTTTACTATGTATGTATATATACATATCTACATAATTCTGCATCTATTGCTATTAGACTATATATATATAATTATGCATCTATCATACAGTTAATCATAAAGAGAATGTAGGACATCTTGAACATCTTTATCATACGTTGCATAGCCACAGCACCAACTCATTCTGCCACTCGTTGCCCCCAGCAAGATTCGACCGCGCCTGGCCGTCCACACTGTAGTGAGATTGAAGAATCGAGCCCTGCCGGCTCTGCGACGGTGAACAACATCAGCGGGGCCATATCCATTGGGATCCATTGGGCCTGCAATATACACCTGAGTTATTTTTTTAAAACAATCAACTTCGTTTGTTTGCCAACTAGAATGTCACAACCACCCGAAAGGAAACAGAACTTGACCGCGAAGGATCCCAGAACTTCAAACCTCGCCCAGCAGTGGGACCCGCCTCAAATCGATCCTGCATCCGGGCAATCAGACCTCAGCTTTTGACATGGGGAAGTGCACCTAGAAACCTGGAGGTAGGTCAGGTCTGTCAAAGTGAAACAAATAAATGAACATGAATGAACATGTTTGAAACATTTCAACTTTTTTGCATTCAGAATGATTTGGCCTCGGGCATTACCCCTTGCTAAGCTTTTTCGGTGGGGGAAACGCATGTCGCTTGACTTTTCCTTTACAAACTTCAAGGACGAAGAATTCTGAGGCTCCAATCTCGAGATGTCTTGTTCTTTTTATTTGTTTGAAATTTGTGTTGTTGTTTTTTTTGTTTTTTCCTTCCCTGTTCTATTTTTCCAATGGTTTTCCTTCAATGTTGCAGAGTTTTTGGCGTATATATGTTGGGATTGTGCTGCTTGGTTCTATTTGCGGCAGATGTGAGTTTGAAGACCAAAACAGGATAAACAAGGTGAGCATGTGATTTTGTGTAAAATCATGCGTTTCTGTTTGTTATAAGTTGGAAAATGTTGTGGTATTTGTCATATCATTTCAAAAGAATGGACGTGTTTTTCCAATAAAAACATTTGATCTTTTTTGAACATGCATTTTGTATTTTGTCCCCCAGGCCTGATGAGCTACCAACGACCAGGTACCCAAGCATCACAAATGATTCAATGGGGCGTGTGCCCAGTTCTTCATTTCCTTTATACGTCTCAGCGCGCAAAAACAATAATATAATATATACCCTCTGGTTATTTAACATAGCCATGGAAAATTGCCCATTTATAGACGGTTTCTCTATTAAAAATGGCGATTTTCCATGGCTATGTTAGTCATAACCAGATGGTAATTTATATTATATGGAATATCTCCAGAAAGGTCCCAGCGGTTTATTTCGACCACTTACGATGCCTGGGATGCAGATCCACATGTATACCATCCAATTGCCATGATTGACCAATGGATCCAGTGCCTCCACTGAGTTCGGGGATTTCCTAGCTAGCCATGTTTGATGACACTGAAGCGTACAAGATGTCGCGCCCGACCTGTAAGTTGGTTTAAAGAACCATGAGCTAGTTCGATATGTCAACCATAGACCCTAGTGAAATAGTAGCTACTGTATAAACCAACATAACTAAATCCAAGTATTGCTAGCTTAAATCACAATTTAACGGTTGGTGACATGCCATTCCCATTAAATCCCAATGAATCCCAGTAAATCCCAACAAATATAAATACAATGAAATACCATTAACTTCCATTAAATCACTATTAGAATCTATTATATACATATGACGTTCTATTAAATTCCACTAAATCACTATATGACATCATTGTCATCCCACCAAAGCCACCCATTTTTTGCGGCTTCAGGTCGCCCGGGTCTCCAGACCAATGATTCGGGAGGCGCAGGCGCGCCAAAAGAGCATGGTGGCCCATTCGAATTGCACCTGCACCAGATTTGACCCAGAGATGATGGAGATTAAACCAGCAAAATATGGAGATTCATCCTGATTTAACATGATTTAACATGATAAAAAAACAATGTGTTTACCATCGGGGAGCATCAACATATGGAGATTTAACATGATTTAACCAACAAGATGCGGGATCTTGGAGTTAACCATGAACCTGTGGCATTTCGAGGGGTTCAATGAGATTAACCAAGGAACATTGGGCTGGAAAATCCCCAGGATACATAATTCACTGTATATTCAGTCACTGTATCTAATAGAAGATACTCCCAAATATACAGATACCCCCCATAGCTACGTTAAATTACCAGAGGGTACCCATATACCCTCTGGTAATTTAACGTAGCTATGGAAAATCCCCATTTTTCATGGGAAAATCCACTATAAATGGTCATTTTCAATAGCTATGTTAAATTACCAGAGGGTATACACTATATAGATACTCCCAAATAATTCATTGAATCTACCAATACTGGTTGGTGGTTGAGCCCTACCCCTCTGAAAAATGATGGACTGAAAGTCAGTTGGGATGATGACATTCCCAATATGATGGGAAAAATAAAATTCATGTTCCAAACCACCAACCAAATATACACTTCTGTATGCATTATATAGATATAGATACTCCCAAATACTCACAGAAGCCTAAATGATTTGGTGCTTGTTTTTCCATGGATCATTATAGCTAGCAACTTGGCCATCTAATGATCCCATCGTGCATGCTATTTGCAAAATACCTCTGTACTACTTATGTACTACCTGCTACATATCACCTATATTATATAATGTATATATGTATATAATTGTATATACGTTTTTTCCAGTTTTGGTACGACCAATCGCGTATCTATACGCTACTCACATGCAATCCTGCTTTGTATATTTATATTACCCATTGCATGATAAGCTGCATCGACCCCCATCCCCCCCACCACCCACACCACAGGGGAGGGGGCGACCACATACACTACCTAGATACCTCATACTAATGATAAATACGTACATGTATGTGTATATGTATAATATGTATGTATAGTACCTACATATTCTATATACTTACTACCTATAATTCTATATACTATATACCCTAAGTATTTACTACCTAAACACTGCCTATATACTACCCATTCACCACGCTTAAAAATAGATAGACACTACCTATGTACTACATACATACTACCACATAACACCTATGTACCACTTGTTTGGATGCACCAGCTATATCCAGCTATTATGTATTCCCCACACAGCATGTGCAACCCCCTTCGCACCCCAACCCACAGGGGGGGGGACACAGAACCTGGACAAAGCCATATGGCTTTGTCTGAAAATAGCGTACCCCCAAAGTTACATAGTTGATCACAATTTTCCTCACTAACTGGTTAGTTGGAGGTATACCCTCTGGTAAACTAACATAACTATAGAAAATCACCCTTTTTGACAGGTAAATCGACTATAAATGGCCATGTCCAGTAGCTGTTAAATTGCCAGGGGGTAAATCCCGTATCATCCCATTATTCACCATTGTTAACCATTAAATCACCATTTATTGTGGTTAAATCTCCAGTTTTTGGACAAACCCAAAGCAACACCCATCCCCATTCGCCTCATCGATGGTTTCCGCTTGCAATACGATTTGTCCACTGTGATCACTACGCGGTCGCACCGACAAACGCATGCCCTGCAACACGAGACCTGGGCCAATGGGATGTTTGAATGGGATTTCACCAAACAATTTATGGGGAGAACCACATCAACAATGGGGATTCAAAACAATTCGTAGTGGATTTGGATATCTGATCTTATCTACCAATCATTAATTTATGGTGTTGGATGGTTTTGGAGTTGTTATCATGTAGCTGTTCGATGCTTCTTCATTCTGAAGTTGATTCGGTGTTCCCGGTGTACCCCTACTTCACCTGTTTGTTGAATTGAACATAATTGAACTATTAGGTGCGGTCAACTTGTGTGTTCTGTCTAGTTCAAGATGATTCTATCTTTGAATCAGTGCTTGTTGGTGCAAACCTTTGATCGATACTAATGACGAGGTTCAACCCGGAGAAAACCAGTTAAAAGGAATGATCGAAAAGCACCATTTTTGCAAACAAAACGTAAAACATCCATAAATGGGCAATTGTCCATACAAGGTGAGGTACCCAAGTGATAGCAAACTAAGTTGACTTATAACTTGGTAAACTAGGGTTTATGCGGGATATTGTTATAATTTATGGGGGTTACACACCAAATTATAATTGGGGGGCCCAACCTTCTAGCCATGTTACCACGGGCAAAAAAAGGGCACACCATTTTTCGGGATCCGAGGAGAAAGAAATGGTCAGTTTTGGGAATAAATTGGCGATTATATCTCGTTTTATCACATTATATCAGCGGTGCTGAAATAATTAGTTGGTTTTTTCCCCCATCTTCTACCTTTTGGCATCAATGGAAAATCACCTATTCAATATAATTTCCCTCTTTGACATGGAAAGGGAACAAGGTCATACCAAATTGTTTCAGCTAGGCAATGGTGTTCAACTGTCCACATCTTTGCGCGAATTCAGCCTGACAAGAGATGTGAACTAACGCCTGCAAGTCATTAAGTTAGTAAAAAGTTAGAACGTCAAAGAGTGCCTCAACGCAACAAACTTTTTTGTGTGTGTGATTGTTTATGTTTATGTTTATGTCTACCTTTATCTTTATATTTATCTTTGTTTTTACTTTTATCTTTGACTTTATTATGATTATTTTTTTATATTTCCCCACCTGCCAGGTGAGGGTTGTTAGATTTTATGTCAGTTGCCTCCTGCCTCCTCCTGCCTCCTCCTGCCTCCTCCTGCCTCCTGCCTCCTGCCTCGTCCTCCTCGTCCTCCTTGTCATCCTTGTCGTCCTTGTCGTCCTCGTCGTCTTCGTCGTCCTCGTCGTCCTCGTCGTCCTCGTCCAACTGCGACCCGCGATCCACAGTGTTCTCTGCCGGACCTCAACCACGACCATCCACGCCCAGTGTTCCCTGCCGGACCTCAACCACGACCAGCCACGCCCAGTGTTCCCTGCCGGACCTCAACCACGACCAGCCACGCCCAGTGTTCCCTGCCGGACCTCATCTGCGAGTATCCATGCCAAGTGTTCCCTGCCGGACCTCAACCGCGGGTATCCATGCCAAGTGTTCCCTGCCGGACCTCATGTAGGAAGATATGGGACAAAGAATGTGCAGAAGAAAGTTAGAAAGAATGTCAGAAAGAATGTCAGAAGATATGCCAGAAGATATGCCAGATAGAATGCCAAATAGAATGCCAGATAGAATGCCAGAAGATATGTCAGAATATATGCCAGAAGATATGCCAGATAGAATGCCAGATAATATGCCAGAAGATATGCCAGATAGAATGCCAGATAGAATGCCAGAAGATGCCAGATTGCCAGATAGAATGCCAGAAGATATTGCCAGAAGATATGCCCAGATAGATATGCCAGATAGAATGCCAGATAGAATGCCAGAAGATATGTCAGATAGAGTGCCAGAAGATATGCCAGATAGAATGGCAGAAGATTTGCCAGATAGAATGCCAGAAGATATGCCAGAAGATATGCCAGATATGCCAGAAGATATGCCAGATAGAATGCCAAATAGAATGTCAGAAGATATGTCAGATAGAATGCCAGAAGATTTGCCAGTAAGAAAATGTATAAATGTCATGGTGGGGATCACACGAAGTAAAGTAATTATCTTGATCTACCTATCTATGTTTCTTTCTTTCTTTCTTTCTGTCTTTCTTTCTTTCTATCTATCTATCTATCTATCGATCTGTCTGTCTGTCTATCTATCTATCTACCTATCTATCTATCTATCTATCTACCTATCTAATCTATCAATCAATCAATCAATCAATCAATCTATCTTTCTATATATATATATATCTATCTATCTACCAATCAATCAATGAATCAATCAATCTATCTATCAATGAATGAATCAATCAATCTATCAATCTATCTATCTAACTATATATTAATCAAACCAATCTAACAATCTATCAATCTATCACTCTATCACTCTATCAGTCTATCAGTCTATATCATCTATCTATCTATTATTCTAATCAATCTATCAACCTATCAACCTTTCAATCTATCAATCTGTCAATCTGACCTATCTATTAATCAAATCAATCTACCAATCTATCAATCTACCAATCTATCAATCTATCTGTCTATGTGTTACTCTAATTAATCTAGTTAATCTAATTAATCTAACTAATCTAATTAATCTAATTAATCTAATCTATCAATCTATCTATCTAATCAATCTAATCAATCTATCATTCTATCAATCTAATCTAATCTATCAATCTACAGTATCAATCAATCAATTAATCATTCTATCAATCAATCAAACTATCTATCAATCAAACCAATCTATCAATCTATCTACCTATCGTTCTATCCATCTATTAATCTAATCAACCTATCAACCTAATCTATCAATCAATATATCTGTCTATCAATCTATCAACCAAGCTATCTATCGATCTATCTAACTATCATCTAACTATTTATAAATCAATCCATCTATCAATCAATTCATATGTCTGTCTATCAATCAATCCATCTATCAATCAATTCATATGTCTGTCTATTTATCTATCTATCTATCTATCTATCCATCTACCTATCTATCTATCTATCTATCTATCTAACTCCAATCACTTGTCTAGCTTCCTGCCCTTCTAAAGACCCCCTGACACCACATTGCAAAAATCCAGCACAGCAATTTGTGCTTATTTGGTCACAATCCTCCTAGGCCACCTGTCGGTTATGTCGGGTTTCTGTGGAAAATCACCGAGTTTTCAAGGGATTTCCCGTGCCCAGAGGCCCAGGGGTCCAGGGGGCCAGGGGCCCAGGGGCCCAGTTGGTTTGGGGATGTTCCAGCCCTGTTTGATTTCTGCCAGGTATGGTTGAAAAACCACCAGTCCTGCTTTTCAGAGTTGATCCGAATTGATGTTTTGGGAAGCCAAACTCGATCCATTCCATAGCATAGCATTCCCACACAGAGATATTGCATGATTTTATCATCTTCTATCCCATTATGGGTCGATTTGGGAGTCTCCTGCCATGGGTACCTCAAAAAATCATCCATTGATGGGATTTTCCATGAAATAAACCCAACCAGCTATTGGGGTACCCCCATTTCAGCATTTCAGGACCCCCCCAATTAAATCCCATGACATAAATCCCAGTAAAATCCCAGTAAAATCCCAGTAAATTGCATTAAAATCCCATTGAAACCCCAATGATAGCTGTGAAGCCGGTGATCTCCTTACCACCCTCTCAGCCAGCTTGCGAAAGGAAGCGCTTCGTTTGGGAACCGTGATGCCCATCCTCGGTGTGGCAGGATCACCAGGCAGAAAAAAGTCGCGCCTTTGTGAAGATCGCCTTAGCAACCCAAACTGGGGGATTCAACAATAGAAATGGAAGTTACCCTCTGGTAATTTAACATAGCTATTGAAAATGACCATTTATAGTGGATTTTCCCATAAAAAAATGGTGATTTTCCATAGTTATGTTAGTTTACCAGAGGGTAGAACTTTGATTCGTGAGGATATGACAGGATATATAACAAGATGAATCAAAAGAGTTTTTGTACTTGAGAATCGTGGATTTACAGCAAATCTATGGCAATTCTCATGTCGGCAATGATATGTTAACATGGTGGAAACCATACTTTTTCCTGTTTGTAGACCGACACTATTTTTTATTTTTTTGTCTGGAATGTGAAATGAAATATCGAATGATATCGATGTAGATTGGCCCAATTCAAAGCTGGCCATGGCATGTCATGTATATAATATGTGCAGCATGATGGAGCATTGACGATTCATCTTGTTGTGTGATATCCATTCATTGGAGCCATTTAGAGTATCATGCATGGAATAAATACTGTGGGTCACAAGATTGGACGATTGAACATACCAACAAGTTCAATCCACGCCACGGTTTTTGTACCAGGAAGTGCGTCATAAATCATAGTTTTCTGGATTCTATCCCATGTGTATATATATATATAATATGCATATATATATAAATATATTCTTACAGATGTGTACATAGATAACATTGATATGTGTATATATATATATTATACACAACACATACCATATATAAGATGTATACATTGTTGCTTATAACCTGGCCACTATGATAATTTTCCGTATCATTCTGCATCATTTTCTCATTAATGTTAGACACCGCTTAGCGCGATGGGCCACAGTGTGAAAGCAATACAAACTAATTCAGTCTCCTGAAATTGTGTGGGTGGAACTCTAGTGAAAAAAGCATCTCAGGTCCATTTTTTTTCAGGAGGAACCAATTAGGTCAAGGAAAAAATATCATTTTTATAGGTCCCTTCTTGGGATATTGTTTCCTTAAATTTTAAACATCTTTGTCCACCCTTCCTGTTACTATAGCTGCTGTATCTTGATCACCCCAATAATCTTGAATCTTCAAAACGTCAATTTCCCCAAAGAACCAATTAAATCCCAATTCAAAAACAGCACCTACATAATTTTTAAAGGGGGTACCCCATGAGTGACTCAGATCCTCAACAATAGAATTGTTTGGATGGTACCCTACTTTGCTCAGAAATTTCTGGGGCGAAAAATAACAAAACCTTTAATCCACCTTTGGATCAAGATGTTCCATTTGCTTTAGAAAGCCATATCCATTTTGAATCCTTAAATGCAAGGTCCCCCAAATGATTTAATCCCGTACTAAAGCCTTATTTAAAAACAGCATCTAAACATTTTTTCAAGGGGAGTAGCCCATGAGTGACTCAGATCCTCAATAATGGAACCGTCGGGATGGTACTCGATTATGCTAAGGAAATTCTGAGGTAAAAAACAACTCAAAACATTTTTTTTGATCCACCTTTCTTTACTGGTTGGTGGTATACCTACCCCACTGAAAAATATGAAAGTCAATGGGAAGGATGACATCCCATATATTATGGAAAATTAAAAATGTTCCAAACCACCAATCAGATTAGATAAAGCTGTTCCATTTACTTTAGAAGGCAATTTGATATGAACTAAAATCCTTACTTATCCTTAGATTTCTTTTAGGTTCCAAAGGAAAATGAATTGAACGTAAATTGATATGATTTGAAATACTTACTTATCCTTAGATTTATTAGGTTCTAAAGGAAAACAAATTGAACGTAGATGGGAATTAATTGAAATCCTTACTTATCCTTAAATTTCATTAAGTTATAAAGGAAAAATAATTGAAAGTAGATTCAAATGGATTGAACTCCTTACTAATCCAGATGTTCTTTAGATTTAAAAGGAACATCAATTGAAAGTAGATTGGCATCAATTGAGACCTTTACTTAAGTTGATCATCCTGAATTCCTCCAACCTGGTCCCAAGAAAAAATTGAATAATAGAGTATACCTCAATTGTTTGAGGGGGGGCCCTCCACTAATCAGTCTCCAACATGATTCTCCTTTCATTTCCTATCGAACCCTTCCTTTTTTCCATTGTTACCAGCTTGTTTCTGACTTTTCCTCTACATTCCCATATTCTCCCAGGGTTTCCCATAACATTCCCATAACTTCCCAGGATTTCCCCTAGCTTCCCATGATTTCCCCTTAAATTTCCCCACCTATCCCCCAACCACCCCCCACCCCCCAGCCGCTCCAAGACACCAGCTGGAACACTTCGCGGGCGGCGTGGTAAAGAGCAGTTCCACCTTGCCATCGCGCTGCAGGTTGTCCACCAGGGCCGCCATGAGCCTCAGCTGGCTTCACCGGCTTCACAGCTATCATTGGGGTTTCAATGGGATTTTAATGCAATTTACTGGGATTTAATGGAATTTAATGGGATTTATGTAATGGGATTTAATGGGAGAGTCCTGAAATGGTGCTACCCCAATAGCTGGATGGTCGACATTTCCATGGGAAAATCATTCTGTAAATGGATGATTTAGGAGTTCCCCATTTCAGGAACCTCCATATGTAGAGTTTATATATACCAACATATACGTGCTTAACACTGTGTTGATTATAGTTTGATCTACCATATTACATATGATATACAAATATTCTCAGTATATTCCTAGAATATTCTCAGGAAACTACATTTTTGGTACAAGATAAGGCTCCCTAGATAGCTAAGTTGCTTTATAACTTGGTTAATGTGTGGGTTGATTACAGGGATAGAACTATTGTATTCATGGGGTTTGTAAACCAACAAACATACCTGGGGGGCCTCACCTCGTGCATTATTCATGGCTATTACTATGGGATGTTCACCATTCTTATAAGTTGGGTATAACGCAGATGAATTGAGGTGAAATATATCTATCCACTTACCCTCTGGTAAACGTTTACGTAGCTATAGAAAGTGACCATGCTATTCATGGGTAAATCAACTATTTCGACTGGGCCATTTTCAATAGCAAAGTGTAACAAATTACTGGAGGGTACGAAAGGTGGCAGACTGGATAGATTTTCCCTCTACTTGGTCCATGCGAACTACCCAACACTTGGTAGATTTCCCACTTATAGGGTCAAGCTTTGGCACCGATGGGAGGCTTCACCATGTGTGGTCGAATCAAAATTTTGGGATCGTGGCATGTTTTTAATAGATGTAAAATGATGTAAAGGATACTAATCATCAAAACCAGGATTGAATCATGTTTGTAATCAAGCAGGAACCGGAGCCGCGAATGGTAAAACTGGTGAATGTTTGGATAAGCAACCATCAATGGGGAACCAACAAATCTTAGTCACTCGTCACGAATCATATAACCAACTGTAAGTGGATAAACCAGGATAAACCAACTTTTTCATGTGCGGGATTCCTTTCGATCAGGGTCAGCGCGATTCGACACGGTACATGGCTACGAAACAAATCACAAAATGCTCACTTGGAACATCTTGGATTTAAGACATCTAGGTTTGTCCAAAGGTGAGAACAAACATATTTTTCACGATTATTTGCTATTAATCTATTAATCTATTAATCACTATTAATCACTATTATTCACTATTATTCACTATAAATCACCATTATTCACTCTTCATCACTATTAATCACAATTATTCAGTATTAATCACTATTATTCACTCTTCGTCACTATTATTCACTCTTCATCACTATTATTCACTCTTCATCACTATTATTCACTCTTCGTCACTATTATTCACTCTTCATCACTATTTATTCACTATTATTCACTCTTCATCACTATTATTCACTCTTCATCACTATTATTCACTCTTCATCACTATTATTCACTCTTCATCACTATTATTCACTCTTCATCACTATTATTCACTCTTCATCACTATTATTCACTCTTCATCACTATTATTCACTCTTCGTCACTATTATTCACTCTTCATCACTATTATTCACTCTTCATCACTTCGTCACTATTATTCACTCTTCATCACTATTATTCACTCTTCATCACTATTATTCACTCTTCATCACTATTATTCACTCTCATCACTAGTATTCACTCTTCATCACTATATTCACGCTTCATCACTATCTTCATCACTATTACTCTCTCACTATCTTCATCACTATTATTCACTCTTCATCACTTTATTCACTCTTCATCACTATTATTCACTCTTCATCACTATTATTCAGTCTTCATCACTATTATTCACTCTTCATCACTATTATTCACTCCTCATCACTATTATTCACTCTTCATCACTATTATTCACTCCTCATCACTATTATTCACTCTTCGTCACTATTATTCACTCCTCATCACTATTATTCACTCTCCATCACTACTATTCACTCTTCATCACTATTATTCACTCTTCATCACTATTATTCACTCTTCATCACTATTATTCACTCTTCATCACTATTATTCACTCTTAGTCACTACTATTCACTCTTCGTCACTATTATTCACTCCTCATCACTATTATTCACTCTTCGTCACTATTATTCACTCCTCATCACTATTATTCACTCTTCATCACTATTATTCACTCCTCATCACTATTATTCACTCGTCATCACTATTATTCACTCCTCATCACTATTATTCACTCTTCGTCACTACTATTCACTCCTCATCACTATTATTCACTCTTCATCACTACTATTCACTCTTCATCACTATTATTCACTCTTCATCACTATTATTCACTCTTCATCACTATTATTCACTCTTCATCACTATTATTCACTCTTCGTCACTATTATTCACTCTTCATCACTATTATTCACTCTTCGTCACTATTATTCACTCTTCATCACTATTATTCACTCTTCATCACTATTATTCACTCTTCATCACTATTATTCACTCTTCGTCACTATTATTCACTCTTCATCACTATTATTCACTCTTCGTCACTATTATTCACTCTTCATCACTATTATTCACTCTTCATCACTATTATTCACTCTTCGTCACTATTATTCACTCTTCATCACTATTATTCACTCTTCGTCACTATTATTCACTCTTCATCACCGTTTATCCATGTCAGAAAGCGTTCAATCCCACCGTGACAAGAAAATCGGAGCTCCATCGGGGCAAGGCGATGCCAAGGCGATGCCAAGCGGCACAATGTCCACCGTTAGGAAGGCAATCTTGAAGCGGACCAAATAAATGGCCTTGGCAAAGAAAACATTTTCTGGCGCAGTAAGGTCACAACATAACTTACCCAGATAATCCCATGAAATCCCATTAATAATCCATAATCCCATTATTATTGGTTGGTGGTATACCTACCCCTCTGAAAAATATGAGTCAGTTGGGATGATTCTTCCCAATATATGGAAAATATAAAATGTTCCGAACCACCAAACAGTAAACCGTGTGGAATCCGAATCGCTGCATGTGAAATCTGCAGAATCCATCTGCTTCAATTTACATTGCCAGATTTAGGATCCACACAGTTTAAGGATGACGCCTGTTTAAGGATGACGCCTGAGGCGAGGGCAACCACGAACCACTAAGGTATAGATACCCAATGAACAGTGGACGCCGAGTCTTGAAAGGAGCGGGACGGTTGGGGTCAAAATTGGGTTTACACGTAAGAATGAATGGTTTGGACGAAAAACATCGAAAAACGGCCAGTTCATCTACATGTTTTGGGGCCTTAAAATTTGAAAATTTGACCCGGCCCATACCCCACTTCGCTGAACCCCAGCTTAGAAAAAAAAAGTTCATATGATAAGTACATATCATGAGTATTGGCAATATTGGTCCAAACCCTGTGCCCCGACGTCAAAATCGCTGGGACTTCTTGGATGTTCATCCCCTTTGATAGGTCTTCCAGACCGCTAGAGACGCAGAAAACTTACGGGCAAGAAGCTGGCAGGAACCCATGGAACCCATGCCAGGAACTACCAAGGATCAAAGGGTCAAGAATTGTTTTACCAATTGGTCTTAACATGTCATTTTTCCCAGACGTTTCCCGGAGATTTTGTGAAGACCGGAGATTTCGGAGGTGGTTTCGACACTGCGGTCTGCCAAGGATCTTGATTGGTTCCCAACTGTGCCAGCTTCTCAACCTTCCTCAAGGTGACTGGAGAGGCACCAATCAAAATAGGATGGAGTTCTTCATCCAAACAAATGGTCAGGAGTTTCATGGATTGTCATTGAAACATATGATGTTTGATGACTTTTCAATGGGAATTCATGGATCCTAAAATGGAGGTACTGTACCATATAAGGCCATATTTTGTGGGGATATTCCCTTACATAGGCCTTACACAGGCCTTATATATAGTAGGTACCTCCAATTTAGGTTCCTGAAATGGCCATTGAACTTTTGTGGGATCCAAAAAACACATACACACAACAATCTGCCGCAGGAGTGTCTCAAACGACTGCCGCAGTCTGCTTTGCTGAGTTCATGAATTCCACCCGATGCCCGATCCCCGGTGGGCGCGCTTGCGCATCACATGTCTCATTTGGGTATGAGTCAAACCCTGCACCCACTGATAATCAAAGGTTTCCAGCTGGAAAATGTATGAAAATGTCCCATTTATAGATGATGTTCCCTCTAAAATATCCAAAAAAGTTCGGGAGTTTCCAGCTGGAATTCCAGCCATGAAACAATGACACCACAAGCTACCCTTTTTTTGAGTTCACAAACTAGTTTCTTTTTTCGATGTTTACAGATTTGGGACTGGGTCAAAATTCAAAACCCCCAAAAACCACAGTTTTTAGTCTATTTTTAGTAACTACACCATCTAAGCATAAAGGGGACTCCCAAAAACTGGGACATCCTCCGAAAACTAGGTCCAATGATCTCCAAAAAAAATTGGATAGCAAATTTTGACCCATACCCAAAATGGGTAGATTTCAATCCCTTCTTCCAACTCATTTTGGGACGCTTCCCCGAGGTTTCCTCCAGGTGATGTCGGGTTTAATGGTTCGATCACTCAAAAAAAGATCTTTTTCGTGGTTGCTTAATGTTGGTTATATATCATTAGATAAATACCTGGATCCATCCTAGATGTCTAATCATCCAACATCATGTCAAAGAACACTCTTTCATGTTTTTTGGGTGGATTATTGACCCTGAACGGTTAACAACGACCTTGAACGGTTTTTAACGTACTTGGTGTACCAGGGATGTCTATATATATAATAAGTGCATATATTGGTATAAATGTATATATTTATACCTATATACATACATACAATTACATACATGTGAATATATGCACATGTATATGATTATGAATAAATATGTATATACATATATATATATAATTGAATATGAAGGTATGTATGCATATATATATATACATATATGCATGTATGCCATGTGTATAAATGCATATGCAAAAAAACGATCAATATACCATGCACACATACATGTCTATGCTGCATGCTGTGTGTATGCTGAAAGTATTGCACCCAGGACTCTCCACTCTGCACCAAGACCCACTTTCATCAATCCCCTTTCATTTTTCGCCTTTGCAAGCTCATCTAAGCTCATCCCCAAGAAATGTTAATTTGTGCCAAGTACCTTTGTATGGATCTCAAAGCACATGTGCGTGCACTTACACTGCGTGTAAGCAACGCACACCTCCCAACAAAATCTTCATCCGTGCTGCATGTTTCAACAGCCGGGTTAAGGACCCACCTGGACAGTGCCGCCTGTCGGCGTAGCTCAAATTGGATTTCATGTAAAGAATGTAATTTTGGAAGCATTGCGAATCGAGCTTGGCACTTTTGAACATGTATGTGTGCCAGTTGGCAATATGCCCTGATAAATTGTAGCAAACCATCAGCTAGTTCAAGTGCTGTGCCCCGCTCCAACCAACAATCAGAGGCATAGAGAAGACGCAAGGCATGGTTCACGTTGGTCGTGCCCACTTCCTCAGTAAAGCGACCAGTCTCCCAAGGTTTGAAGGGCAAAGGTCTTGTGGTATAAAACTTCATTATAGGAAATAACCGCATATCCAAATATGAACAGGTAGACCCTTGCATACATCAACCACATCATAGAGTGAGGAACTTCAACACAACAGGCAGAGTCCCTGAATCAACTTCATATATATTCAAAACCATGCATTTAAACCCTGGATCCCCAAACCATCTAAACTAAGCTCAAGAAAGTTGCAATGAGCCGCAAGCACTCATCAGCATGTACCAAAACAGGGTGCATCTTGCACAGGTGTTCAAGGAACAAGCACAGCAGCGTGGTAACTGCAGCTTTGCTCCACGATCCAATGGCTTCATTAGATCCACCCCCACCACAGAGAAACTTGTCCACTTTGGAAATGAACTTGTACTCCTTTTCAGCCCGGGCCCATGACTGAAATTCCTGGTTCATCTTGTCAAAGCGAGCATCGATACTGTTTCCGGCAAAGACAATTGAAAGCAACAGCAATGAAGAAGCAACCCAACTCTTTCCAACACCAAGGTGAAAGGTGTGCCAAAGGTCAGGCTTATGGAACCTTGCAGCCCCATTTGGCGCTGAATCCTTCAACAGCAACCGTGTAAATGCAGCCTCCCGCTCCCAGGGTAGAGGTAGAGGTTCCACATGCGATTTTGACATAGCAGCTTCTGCATCCCTCCTCAAGCTGAAGTATGGAGATGCTCAGAAAATTGGGTATGTTGGATCTAACATGCAGTAAAATTGTATATGTGTATATAGTTTGGACGGTCCATATTACTTATCTCATACAGCTTAAAACCACAAAACATATCAAAAGAATTAATCTTGGTCAAAGGATCAGGTTCTCCCATTCAAAAGTCTGGCCTCCCAAACACAGGTGGCATATCCCAGCCCCTGTCGCATCCGTTGGATGCTTTGGAGCTCGCCTGTAGGATCGTACCAGGTTTGCCGAAGTTACCTACAAGCACATGGAATGGGTTTAGATGGAATATTCACACGCACATGGTCCAGTATCAAAATCAAATTATCAATGTGCAGAGGACACCCCAAAGTACAAACAAACATATACATCATCAATTGGAGCCCAGGAACCAGGTATGACCAGTCCCCTTTGTTTCCAAGGATGATGGGGTACACACGTCCATTCGGCTCACCCAAGTCAATGCCAGTTTTTTCCAGGTCCGAGAAGTGTTGACAAATCATCTCAAAGATTGCATGCCAAACACGGGGGTCATCTTTGTACATCTCCTCCCATGGTACTGAACCATATGTATATATATATACCAAAGATATCATCGTTCAAAAATTTATGATATATCCTGATGATAGAACACCAACAAGGTATCACACCAAATACAGTCTAACATAAGCCATATACTTGTTTCCCTTAATTTGAAAACACGCTGAACTTTTTTGCTATACCCAGTCCTTTGGGGTGATGATGGTGAGCATCCTGGTAAATGTTCCTGACTTCAAAAAATTGAGTGGAAGTCCAGCTTCTCCCATATCAGCTAAATTCACAGCCATGTGATGTGGGCGTCTGGAGCTACCGTACCCCAATGGTGATTGCCAACTCACTATCAACACCCCCTGCCTTTTGTACGTGGTGCCCTCGTCGCCATGCAAATAAAGGGGAATGCATTGCGAGGCCTGTTTCCTCCCTGCGTCTATGTCATTCCACAACTCATGATGGGGAAAAATTTTCCGGTAGCGATCCCAGAATGTCGTCAAAATGGGTCTTGCTTCCTCCATATTTCTGAATCCACCCAAGATGTGGCACAAGTCATTCATGCGGGCAAGGGTTTCCAGAAACACTGATGGAGGCAGCCAGGCCAAACCCTTCAATGGGCCATTCTGAACATAGTTGATTCTGACTGGGTAGAACATATTGTGATGTTCCATTGCTCTTGCAACACCAGCTTCCTAAAGTTGCATGCCCCACCAGAAATACATATAATTGAACAGATTTGGGGTTAGTTTTACAGGATCATTTTTCACATAATACAGTTTCATCCGAATTCAAAATATGAAAAAAACATTGCAATTGCAACAAAGCGTCGCTGTTCCTAAGGTTGACCCCGCTCAGGGTTGATAGCAAAGGGCACCGGGCAGCAACATAGCCATCATCACGGTCATCAGCACAGGAATCTTTTGCAAATTTGATGATCTCGGTGCAATGCTCCTTAAGGGATGGAAGCCCAAAACAGAATTTGATCTTTTACATAACTTATCAAGTAGATACATTGAATTACATGCTATCCCAAGTATATATGTTTGAAAAAATAATTACATCAACACCTTGCACTGTCACAATATAGCCAAGTGTCGCCACAGCCATATCGCCAAGCCAGCCTTCGAGCCTTCCGTGAGGGACCTGGCTGGGAAGAATTGCATGGGAAAGGGGGCAAGAATCTAAAAACAATCATGTATATATGAATATATGTTTGATATACCTCATATATATATATATACATGTACATCATATCACATATATATATATAGTATATACATCCCGAAATAAGTACCTATTGGGAATGGACCACCACCTGTACACAAGCAGCAATACCTTTTCTCGTGGTTCCCTGCTGCGGCTAGAGCCACATGCACTTAAGATTGATTGTCCGCAGATATCTGCAAATGTCAGCACAACTCAGTGATGACTGGCTTTCGCTAGCATATGTCAACATCCGAGCATGCAGTACCCAATATTTTGTGGTTGTTCAACCAACATGTGGTTCTCCACATGTTTTCTCAAAACCCGAGAGCCAATGATCATGAATGAGGGACTGCATACAAATTAAATGATTGAAATAACAGATTGTGACCATTAAATTATTATATATATATATAAATAAGGTATATACAATACAATTGTGGAGCATCATCCCATACACCCCATATTGCATTAGATGGTGCACCAATGCACCATATGTATATAATATATACAATTAAGCTAAATGGTATAAAACCAGTCCAGTCCTTTATCTCACTCATGATTCGTTTTTGTTGCTCTTTGAGCCCCTGAGTTTTTTGGCCTTGTGCGGCACTTCCGAGGCCTCAGCAGATGGAGCTGGTGTAGCCTTTGGCTTCTTGTCTCCCTTGGGTGCCTTGGGCTTCCCATCACGGCCTGCTGATTTCTTGGATTTGGGAACCTTAGGACCCTTAGGACCCTTAGGAGCCTTAGGAGCCTTAGCACCCTTAGGACGACCATCACGGGTCTTTTTGGGTGGTTTCACTGGCTTGGTCTTCTTGGCCTCCTTGACCAAATGCCTGCACAGTGACATGGATCAGAACCCCCCCATAGAAATGATATGGGCAATGGCAAAGACTGTACTGCTTTCAAATATTTCGCAACATGTCGATTCATATATGTGTTTGGCTAAGTGACTTCTGCTGGTTCTCCAAGGTCAGCAATTCTGCGCACCTAAGATTAAGATTAACTGCAGCTGCGAATTCGAAATGATAAGGGTAACCTTGTTACAAATAATTTCTCCTTACAATTTCATCTATATATAATTGCATTCGATTCCATTGCATGAACATGCCTTCAAACGATATCACTCAGGATTGTTGGATTACACAGGGTTCATATGCTTGCAATCTTCTCAAGCACATATCATATATATGATATATAGTTTGGCCCAGGCTCAGGTCCCTGACTTTGTTCTTTTCATCAGCGATCTTAGCCAGCAACCTGGGATTGGAGCACAAGTCTATAGACACACCAACAAGTTTCAACCGGGTTTCCCAAAGAAGATGCTTCTTTAATCAACCTTCTATTTCCATATATGTGATTCATATATATATATAAACATAATAAGCTGGCAAGTCATGCATGAATGCACTCAAAAGATATTTTGAGCGAGCTCCGGTTCAATCTTTTGTCACGGATGCTTTCCCCTAAAAGATGCCACGAGGCACATGCACAAGTAATTAAGATAGGATCAGCTGATTTAAAATCAGGTAATATCCCAATCTAACAAGAGCATCACTGAACCATCATGAGGTGTGCATTGCTTGGCCTCTTGAAAGACCTGTACACCATATACACAAAGAACGGTCCATCAGTGGAAAACGGGACGTTATCTCCTCCATCTTTGATATTGCGACATCCAGTTTCTCCTCAGGGAGCAGCAGTGCTGTGATCAAAAGATTGATCGTATATAGGAATTATATATATATATATAGACATTTTACCTCAAAAAATGATGTTGAATCAACATTAATCAAGGTAAAATTTCAAAACATATTGGAAACCCTGGATGTCCTTTGTACCGTTGAATCAATGCAGCTTCCACGAAAGATGTTGACACAGTTTCCGAAGCCACATAGAGCACAAGCATGTGTTCCCATCCAGCTTTCAAGTCATGAGCATACCCAAATTTTTGGTTGTAAAACCGGGTGTGGGGGCAATGTGTAAATCCAAATTTGTAGATGAGCGGTTCATGCTTTGCTATCACACCATCACTTGTTGAAAAACAATGTTTGAGAATTGCTCCAGGTAAGCATCCTTTGCGTGGGAGTTTGTACCCCAAACGCTCATCAAACTCTATCTTGTTGAAGCATTCCAGGGTGCGAGCCATATCCAAGAGTTGTGCATCCAAGGCATCCGACCATGCCGACTTCAATGCAGTTGGAATCCAAGTTGGAGCGGGTGGTCCTGGAGTGAGCAGGTATGACAGCTGAGGGAAGGCATGAACTATCATGATAGAATGGTGGTATTTACAAAAACAAAATCAAGGATCAATTAATAATCTAGATGGTTTATTTTTAAATTGTGCATGCATGCACATTGAAACCACAAATGCAAATGGCCTTAGCAGATTCTATCAACACCACATGACATATTATGGCAGAGGTTGCACAGCTTTACCAGGCACAATGAGCCCATGCCCCAGTCTCCTTTGGGTACTATGGTAGCTGGAATGAAGCTTAGCTCACTGGCCTGGAGCATGCAGACAACCATTGGGTTTGGTTTTTATACTGATGATGCTGATTACGTTTCATATATATATATATACATATAGGATACTCAATGATATCCTATGTGGATTTGCGTCGATATGTGATGGTTTTTCACACACAGACCATATCACAAGTGCATGGTTGCCAACAGATGAATGCATGTTCAGGGGGTGCCCGGCCTGGCGGTTGTAATCAAGTAGTTCTTGAATCCAAAGGACTGGATCATCACTGGCTTCATCGGTTGTTGCTAGCATGGTGAAAGTCGGAGCCATGTAGCTGCAAAACAGGGCTCATTGAAGGCCCCTCCCTGATTGTAATCAAGATGCATTTTCTGTTACATATAGATTATAAGATTAAGGCTGTTCTGCATAGGTCATCTGATTTTAATCATATAATGAACATTGCATCAACACATGTAAATTGTAAAGGTATATTATTTATATCGAAGCATCTTCTTTGGGGTGCCCGGCAGTAAGACATATATAGTTGCTTCCCAGAAACGCAGTGAGCTCATCACTCTTGGTCTGCCCATTGTTGTGATCCATCTTTAGGGCGGTGATGTGAGATGCAAATCGGTTGTAGGACTCATCCATGAGTTTCTGATTCTGCTTGAACTTGTCCATCAACCTCAATCTTGTACCAATTAACAACAATCATGAATATACCAATTAAAAACAATCATGGTACAATACATGATTGAGTATGTCAGCATGGAACCATCAAGACAAGAAAACCAATCAGTTGAGCTACACATCAGACTGGGAAGAACTGGGGACATTTTCCTTAATTTGCGCCACCAAGGTGTCAATGGATCGAACTTTGGTGCTCAAGCTTTCCATGTACTTGTCCAGCTCCGCCACAGGCTGGCCGCAAGAGTTGGTAAATGGGTGGGTTTTTGGAACAATCATGCAATGCCCTCATGCTACCCCATTCCTTTTGTTTGTATATATTCTGTCCTGATCATTGGGGTTGATATAAATATATATATATAAGTTGATCCAGCCTTCTCGCCAACCACAGCCACAGCCGGGTCCGCTGAAGGCATATTCACTTCTCCCTGGGGGCCACTAGGGGCACATTGCAAAACCTCTGCCTGAGCTCATGAGTTTTGGAAGAGAGATCATGCATGTAGTTTGGGGACATGGCACTTGAATGCCTGATGCAATCCTAAAGGTTTCACTGAATGAGACATTGGATATAATATATATATACATATTATGTATATAAGCTTATGTGAGCACTATTGGTTTTGTTCAAGCTAAGGGACGCCCAATTCAGTGGCTTCCTGGCGCTTTTCAATGTCTGCCAGCTTTTGCAAAGTTGACTCCTCCAAGATCACATAGTACTCCGATATTCGAGAGTCATATTGCCAAGGTCTCAGGGTGAATGAATGGGAAAAAATATATAGACAGAATGGGGATCACAAATCATGTATGCAGGTAATTGTGTTTAAACAAAGTATGCCATATATATATATATATATATCAACGAATGTTCATGCATAAAAGGATCAAGGTGATAAATTGCATGCGCATTAAATATGTCAACCCTTGTGCCTGGTGAGCGACTCTGGGAATTTGGCACAGTACCCAGTGATCGACTTGATGGACTGGGTGGAAAATTCACCACATTTCTTCATCCTATCTTCAGTCATCCATCGACCGAAGACTGTGTTCTCTTTCATGGACATTTTTTCCTTCAAAATCGTCACTTTGGTCACGAATTCGCCCTTAGCTGTGGTGATCGGTTCAACAGTTGGTTGTATATATTAATTCAGTAATCCATTAAAACAGTATATATCTTAACACATTCACGATCATCATTCTATATAGATCCAAGCTTCTTTAACCTTTTTGTAGGCCCCACGATCTACTCCAAATTTAGCTACGGCATCAAGCAGAGCCATCTCGAGCAATTCCCTCTTGGAGCCCCCTGCAAAGTAGTCTTCATGGATGCTGTCAGGCACAGAGCAGCGACCCGAGCCTTTGCGTTCGCAAAGGCGCCGTGTTCGCATGCGCAAGGCGTCATGGGTCAAGGGAACCTGGGCCAATGGACATCGATGGATATGGACACATGTTGTGATGATCTCGATAAAAAGTTGTAAGGTTATACACACTCCCCAACCGGTGTTGCAAAGAAGATTGGGCTTGCACTGACATAAACATTATGTGTGTGTGTGCAAAACCAGTATAGTGACCTAAAAACCAAGGTTACAAAAGTATAAAGCATGTTGTATGGAACTTCTCGGCCATCTGCAGTGGTCAAATACTTCTCGGGGTCATCGTCATTTTCTTCATCAGAATCATCACCATCGTCATCTTCTCGAGATCCACTATGGGCAGCAGACTTCGTCTTCTGGTCTGCCTCCAACTTATCAATTTTCTCCAATGCAGTTTTCAGCATGGCTTTGAGTTCGGTATCACCCTCGGACCCTGGGTTACCATCTGTTGAATCTTTTGGCTTTGGGGGATCAGCAAGACGGGTTTCCAGGGCTGCAATCTTACACATCAATGTCGCAGTGCGCTCTGCTTCCTCATGACGGCGTCGGTTGTTCTCCTGAAGCAGAACGGGTTAATCATACATGGAGCACTCTTTGGTTAATCATACATAGAGCGCCATCAAGTCAAATTCAATGCTGAAAAAATGGTTTTGATTGTTTTGGATCATTGTAGCATGTATCCATATATTTATAAGAAAAACCTGAGCCATGATATGTTGAAATTATGTTTTCTGTTTGCATCCCAGGCACAGCTTCAAACATCTTCTGGAACTGTTCCAGAGACATAGAAGGGACCAAAGCTGTGCCCGGGTTGGTCAGGTCCTTGCATCTCAGGCCATTGAAGTTGGGATCTTGGGTGACGGGAAGTTCATCCATATATAGACCTATATCAATGGGTCTATCACCTCAAACATCTTGTACACGCAGGAATTTCACCTGCAGACGCATTATATATATATATATTTTTTGATATGATTTTGATATGTATCTCTCAGGATGTATGTCCTATATATATATATTTATGTAAGGTATGCAATTGATTTTGTTAAATCCACTAGTCTGAATCAAGGATTCATGTATATAGGTGTTTATATAGCAAACTTGATTGGTTCAAGCAAACCCAATTGAAATTTCATTATATCAGTATAACCATTGAATGCATTATACAACTCAACACTGGCAATCCAAGTTTCAGCCGGGATAGTTGACATAGGTGATGCAGGGCTGGATGACACAGGCGCTGCAGGCTTAGATGCGCAGTGACCGGTTTCCAAATCATGATATGTGTGAAGTATGTGAAGCACAGTGACCTGTAAGCTCATGCAAGAGGTTCCACTGTTAATTTTCCACTTGGGTTGGTCCCCCAAAAAAGGCCCCCACAAGTCCCAAAATCTTTCATAAAATGCAGAGAAAACACTTTTTTGTGGGGACTTGTGGGTGCCTTTTTTGGTGAACCAACCCAAGTGGAAATTTACCAGGTTCCACATTAAAAGTGCACCATATGATATCCCACCACCCAGTGTTATACTCTTAATATATATGATGCATAACATTCCAACAGGTTTCCCATACCATTGCAAGACGACAAGATGCTGACAAGATGCACTGCCAAACATCTTCCTGGGCGAAGGTGTCTCACGCTTCACCATGACATGCTTGGCTGCTTCCTGAGATGTATGGAGGCCAGTGGGTCAGGGGTGATCGGTCCAAGCTTAAGTCAAACCATGGCTTGAACAGTATCAACATAGTTTGCAAAGGGTATATGCTTATATGAATTTATGTTGCCAAGATCAATCAGGCACATGATTATATTGTTGAGTCAATATACATGGAAGCTGAACATGACTCCAAATATATAGCATGCAGTTGAGTGACCAAGCTAGGTGGGCTCTCCGTTGACTTCAGCTTGGTAATCACAGTCTGAGCTGCCTGTGAGGCAATCAAAACAAACGTTTGTTGCAGGGGAATGCCCACAAAGGATCCATGCAAATGAAGCAATCTCAGTATGTAGTATATCATCGTGTGGTTATCATGTTTTATTTGCTGGCAAAATGCTTTGACAGCATCCCTAGCAGAGCGGGCATCCAACTCCACCCCAGCCATCTTCGCACACATAGCCACCCCTTGCTCCAAAGTAGCACAGCTCCATGCCCTGCTTCGGATGTCCATGTCTGAACCAGACATCTAATAGACAAAGAGAAATGCCTTCACAAGAACTGAACCCTTTTGATCAAAAACGGCTTAGGATGATGAATAGATTAATTGAACTTCGATGCATGATCAATCGACATTAGGAAATCACATGAAATTGGATGCTTCAAGTTGTTAATCTTTGTGCATGCATGTGCAAGCAACACATTTTGAATCCAAGAAACTGATGTGCCAATCACACATGTGTGGTTTAAATGCAGAAATGAGCTAATGGATCAGCATTTTTGCACACTGTTGGGAATGTGCAGCCAACAGTCTTCAATTTGAAGATCTTCTATAGCAATCCATGCAGGATTCCAGCCCCAAATCAATGAAAACATGTGGAAAACAGGTCTCCCAAAAATGACCCTAAAATTTAGGTATTTTTTTACGTAATTTTTACGTAATATTTACATAAGTCTGAACGTAATCGAACGTAATTTGAACGTAATTGAACGTAATTTGAACGTAATCTGAACGGTGTGATTTTCGTAGAACGGTAATTACGAGTAACAACATATCCATTACGTGTTTTAACATGTTCGAACGGTCCCGAACGGTTTCACCTACCATAGCTGATTTTGGGGTGCTGGATCAAAATTTTCATCGTCAGCACTCTTCTTGGCTGCAGTATTCAAAACCATGAACCATATGGCAATATTTCATCACGGTCTTGAAGGGTCACATGCAAACATCAGCCTAGAAAGAGTGATTTCAAAGATCCCAATTAGGCCCAGGCAGGCCGATCGGCAGTTTCCATCCTCTGCAAAATTTCAAATGGTTCAGGAAACACTGCCTTTAGATACTCTGGGCAACAAAGGTTTTTGTTACCACGCAGGTAACGCAAAACAGTGAAAAGTTTCGCTTCTGGCCAGTCACTCCATGGGGTGTTCTGGAAAACATAGGCCCCCTCACCCCTGTACCGGGCTTCAACCTCTGGCTTCCCCACGCCACCCACACGCAGGTCATTGAACATCGTGGTCACACGCTTTGCGAAGGCCAAGGGGTAGACCCTGAGTGGGATGGAGTGACACTGGATGGGCAACCGGTTTCCATGAAGGGCATGCATCAGAAATGGTTTGGCAATTACACATATCAAATACATGCATTGCTGAATTGCAAATATATGCAGTAAGTTGTTTCCAAAAAATGATGCATGCATTGATATACCATGCAATCAATCATGCATAATAAGTCCCTGACTGGGTATTCTTGAGAGCCTTTGTGCCCACGTATCCAACAGATCCGTCTTGTTTGGTGTAACGACGAACCGTTTGTAGTTTCTTCTTCTTCTGCTCACTTCGTCGAAACACCCCAAGATCCAACCGTGCTGCATTCTTCTGGTTGGTGAAGCCATGATGTCGCTTACATGACATCCCTCCATATTGCCCCATCCACCAACCGAATTTCATCACCTGGGCTGGTTCTGAAATTTAAAGTATATAATGATCGATGCAAATAACAGGAGTCACCATTTCAAAGCATGAATATACCAATTTCAATCTTTGAAGCAATCTTCAATCTTTGATAGCCAATTATGCCAATTATGCCCTCTATAGCATATATATGTCTTGAACCTTCGATTGAAATCATTCAATTATACCAAGACTATTATATATATATACAAAACCCAATCATGAGATAATTAACACCAGGACGCAGTTATCTGGCCGGTGAGCCACTGCATCCGATGATAGAAAATCATAACGGAGGAGGAAGGCTGCTCAAGGAGGAACGAGCCACCCCGGCAAACTATCAACGCAAATAACAAAACAGTCCTTAGATTTCGCCCCACAAGCACTATGCATGCATTTGTTGCACATGGATCTATGATCGAAGAAAAAGGTTGGGGTATACCAGTCGAAGAAAGTGTGCATGCATGGCTAAGCTATACTGCATGATCCTTAATGGACGACTCGAATATGCAAGCATACATTAAAAGATATAAACAATTTACTCAAATTCATTATAGAAGTTTCCTTGAGACCATTTCATTGGCACGGTTGATGTATTCCAAACTTGTATTGCCTTCCGGCAAAAGGACACTTCGTCGTGAAGTGCCCCTGTTGAGGTGCACCCATGACGAACAACACGTCGCAAAAAGGCAAAAGAAGCAGTCTTCTTTCGCAGACAGCACAAGCCAAATTGCAAGCCTTAGAGAGCCACCAAAACCCAAAGGAATAGGATTGGATCATGGGAATGATCTAATTATAGTGCATGCATATAGTCTGTCCTATATAGATTTGCAGGATGCTAACTTCATACATTTTTCAATGGTATATGCATTATATATTTCGATGGTACAAGCTTAAACTTGAAGCCATATATACGGTTCATTCTATACAGTTTTTAAGGCATTGACAGGGAATTGTCTTTTTAAATGCCAATGTAGGAAAAACCATTGAGGCTAGAACGCAAATCCGCTGTCAGAGAGCACGTCCATTGGGTTATTGGGGCCTTCCATCCAAGTTATATCCACTGCGCTGCTGGGGTGGGCATCTGCTCGAATGGCCTTGAAGACATTGGCAAAGCCAGCGAAATACTCCACATACTGCAATTCCTGCATGCACGCAGGTCGCATGACGGCTGCATGGACAACAAGATGGCCAAGATCAACAGGGGGAAACTCAGATGGAGTTGTAAAGGGTGTGTTGTCGGACTAAACCGGTCACCACATGTCACCACATGTCACCACCCCATGGTATCATCATTTCAGATATTTATTTTTCAGATTTAGAATCTTGCATGGGGAAGGCAGGATCAAAAGAATATAATGCATGAGTCAGGGTGCACACACTAAAGAAACAATGCAACCCCCATAAAGCAAGGTCAATCATGACTGCACATAGCCCTGCAGTTTCCCCCGCTGTCCTCTGGGAACGTCGGCAGGCCAGCAAACATCGTCAGAATGACCAAATATACAAATGCCTTAGTTGGTTCACAAGCTGCTGGGAAATTTGCTTGGGGATATTCAATTGGATCATGACTCTCTGCATGGAGATGAGATCATCTTTAATATAAATGTTCTATGTGGTTTCCAGATGCCAAGGTCACAAACACTGCTTCGAATTACAGCATGTTTCCCAAATCTGAAGATAGCGCCGTCAATCATTATATATATTAACATGCATGCAGGACAACCAGATGTAACTATCTTGGGACAATCTATGACACCATCCAACCCCTTCCAAACTATTTAGGCACACACCAACCATACCAATTACACAAGTATACAAGTATATATATATGTATACATATATATAGTATAAGCGTGTCTTATTTTACTATAGGAGACCCCTGAGAGAGAGATATATATATATATATATATTTGGCATGGAGGCTAAATTTGCTGAGGAGCCTTTGGGACCCCAAATGCAATGAGCTTGCAGAGCAGGTCATCAACACGGTTCATTGCAGGCAGCGGCATGTGTTCTACCAAAATGCTATCTCAACCAGATCCAAACATTGCTCCATGCAGCGGCGAAGTGGCACAAAGTTATAGCATGCACATGCAATCAAAATCATATAGTGTTTAATCTATATACAACCCAATTTTATGATTTGATCTATGATGGGTATATATGTGAATCATTCCCACTGGTGCTTGCAGGGTCAATGAACAGGCCAAGGTATTGCATGTTTATCATAAATCACCTGAAGGATCGACTGATCTAAATAATGCAATAACACGCAGTATATATAGATAGGGGACCCAATGTACATCTATAAAAAAATACATTAAAATACCAGATACCTGTTTATGTCTATATACCCTTCATATATGATTACCCATCCAAGAACCCGGTCAACCAACCATTTCAATTAATGCGTTTGATATAGTATACATGGGTTCATCCACTATGTTCATCTGTGTTCTTTAAATCCAGGTTGATGCTTATCCTGCAGAAACATGTGGTCTTATTTTCCCTGCAGTGTTCTCAGACATGAAGATTTATATCAACTTATATAGCTATAGCTATAATATCACCCACAGGTTGTTGCTCATAGGATTTGGCCATATGAACAAATTCATGAGGAGATATCTGAGGACCATGGTTGTATAGTGACCCTGTATTATATTTGGCCACCCAAAAAATCATGCCAGTGAGGCGTTGTTTCAAACTGGAGCTCTTTGCAACCAGCCGTCGGGAAGCCCTTCGCAGAGCTGCAGCCTGGAAGCCTCGTTTCCCCATAGGACCTGGCAGCATGCACCAAGGCAAACCATGGTTCTATATTAATGTAGGGTCTGGTGGTGGGTCTGATAGGATGCCTGCATGGGAATAGCATGCACTCATGCATGCACATATATATATATATGGTTTGATCCAAGTTTTTGAATGTAGATTTTCATGTATTGTTCGATGCTGGGACCATTGCACTCTTTATACGCCCTAATATGGATCGATATATTAAAATTGATAATGTCACATGGTGCTTCATCATCGATCAAAGACTTCAACCCTATACTTGTGGTTATGTTTGTGTAACTCATCAAGTCACTGCAAGACATATAGCTTTTGCGTCAAGATCCATGCAGGTTGCATGTCTAGGGCCGCCTCACCCTTCACAGATTTTCGGAAGGTGGAGGTGCATGTATGTGCAGACTAGGTCACATATGCACACTGCTGGGAGTGTGGAAGTTTGACCATTGCAATTGGTCCATCAAATTAAAGACTTGGCCGTTGGGAATCATACGAACTAAGTAAAACTATGCCAATCGCAGCTTCACACACCAATGACTCAATCGATATAAGCATTGCATATAAAAGGTGGTAACCAATATATGATTTCCAAGCATTGCACATTATCTGCAATATCATTGTTACATACCCAAACCAAAGGACAAACCCATGTATTTGAATTGGATTCGAGTCATTGGTATGGAGAGCGCCTCATTTGCCAAGCACATGCCATGGTGACTTCATAAATCATTTATATAAAGTTTTTTCCTATATAGGAAAGTTTGTGGGGATTTTTCAACAGCCTGCTGTACTTGTGACATATATGATTGGTGAGCCTTTACACCCGAAGAGACTGTAAATCAAGGCAATTTACATCCCAGATGAAATTTTGGCATATGCATGAATGAACTTGGCTGCCAACTGCATTGAGCTATACACCTATCCCAATGCATGCTGGTGCGATAGCTTCAGAAGCTTGAGGTAGCTCTTCGACTCTGGGCAGCGTGGATCAGGATGCTCTTGCTGCTGCAGCTTGCCAACCTGGGCTGGGTTGGAGTGATTGGTATCTTACATCGCTTCAGTGGTATCAATATATATATATATATAGCTTAACACAATGCCCATTTCAGGATCATATATGTTATAAGAAAAATATATGGGTGTGTCAGTGAAATCCGACATATATATATATATAGTGTTTTTTTTATTGTGTTATAAAGGGTACAACCAAGATTGGAGATGTTCAAACCAAAACTTATATTCAAAACACCAAAGAGCCATGCACCATGCATTCATGCAAGGCGTTAAACAAATAGATCAGATGTTGAACTCATTGTGGTGTAACAAGGTTTTTGGACAACCCAGTATAAAAAAAATAAGTTCTGTCGACATAAGTGGCACCCTCATACAATCAATATAGACCAAAATAAGTTAACTTAATTTGGTTTTCTTATATACATACTTTGACATCCTTTCTTTTGTCACAGAGTGGGGCTTGGTTCACCACAGTGCAATCTATAGCTATATGTTCGTTTATTGTTAAAAAAAACATCTAACATGACAAAGGGGTGTGGCAAATATGAAGCCCATACCCATTATCAATTGTGGTTTATCGATCATAACCTTTTAAAGCGGCATCGCTAAAAACCAAAAAAAAACTCTGCCAGGGGGATTTTTTTTGGGATGGTTTTTTTTATCCATCGGAAAAACACTTGATAATGGTCTAACCATTCCTGATCAAGAAACGAACTCATAGGCCAGCACCATGTTGGTGTAAATGCAATCCGTTTTGCATGAGAAGTATGCAATTTGGCACCACTTCTTTGCACCCTTTGGTGGGTTCCGGGATTTGCTCTTGGTCTTCTTGTGGGCAGCTGGCAAACATGAGCTCAAGATTTTGACCCCAACTGAACAACGTGACCAGTAAACTGAGAGCTGGTACTGCTTCCCATCAAAGGATTCTGGGACTACGAAGTTGGGGTGGACACAGTGGCTGGCCTTGCATTCAGCATGGGTGTCCTGAACAAGCTTCATGATCCTGGGGCACGGGGCTGGCTTCTCGGCAGCTGCCTTCTTCTCATGTTTTCTTGTTTGTCGTTTCTTGGTGTCACTGCTGTCAGTCTTGTCATGGCTGGGGCTTTCAGCTGCAATAGTAGCAGAGCACCCTGATGCTTCCACAAGTGCAGGTCTAGACATTGGTTTGTTCCTTGATGCACGGCGTTTCTTCATTTTGCTGTAGCGTGATGCACGCTTCATCTTGGCAAACTGCTGGTCAGGGCTGCTAAAACTAGTTTTCCTCAAGGTCCGCCTCCTAACTTTTTTCTGTTTGATTTGTTCATCAACATCCATGGTGGTCGGCTCTGTGCAATTTTCTCCTATCGCCTTCTTGTAAGATCTCTTGACGCCCTTTCTCCTGCTCTTTTTGCCTGCAAGCATCTTGGTGGCCTTCTGCTGCGCCTTCTGTTCTTTGGCAACGTGTTTTTGTCGTGCTTTTTCTTCTTTCTGTCGCAGCTTCTCTTGTTTTTTCTGTTCTCGTTGTTCCTTCTTCTGCTGTTGTAGTTCTTTCTTTCCAGTTGCCTTTGCAGCTGCATCATTTTTCTTTTTCTTTTTCATTTGGAATTGGGATCTGCGTGTTGCCACCTCTTCTTGGTCTTGCTGGCCAAGGACGGCAACAGCACCGCCAGAAGCCACCTGCTGGGTTGAGATTGAACATATGTGCACAAGTATATGATATGCATTGAAAAGGTATAAGAAGTATATATATATATAAATATAATGGTCGACTTATGCAAGGTCCTTTTACAGGAATACCCGTATCTGTTTTTCAAAACCAATCAAAGTAGATACATATATATGTGCAGGAATCAAATCAACAGTCTGCCCTAAAACATCATGTTGACCAAAGGTATTCTTGATATGCTGCACAGTACCCATGGCTCACAGACAATTTGGACCATCTTACCTCATCTTCTTTCTGGTTGGTGTGCTGAAGGGTTGCGGCAACCACGTCAGATTGCATGAAACTGGTGGGGCTAAATGGTACCTGAGTGCCATCCCCATCCTTTGCAAGCGGGAGGGAATCCATCACCACTGTTGGGCCTGATGGGGTGCATGGCGGCATGCTGTCAGTGACATATATAAACACAAAATATGGGTGACCTATGTATCCTATACAATTAATTCAAATATAATATATATATGTAGGGCTATATAATAGGGGTGTGTTTCAAATATAATTTTGGCCTAAGTAAGAGCAATTTTGGCTTAACTCCTCTTTGTGCTTTGCACATGTAAATACAAACCATGATTTCCATCCACAGAGTAATCCCAAAAAACATGGATTGATTGTTTGACAGTTGTTTGACCATGGCCTTCGCAGGGCATGGGACCAGATGGCAAAGCTTCATCAGGAGCAACGGCTGGGATGGCAGGTGTCTCATCCGGGGTAGTACCAGCACCAACACCATCGGTACACCCAGCATCACCACCAGCCTCCTCCATGGCAATCTTGTCCATGTCGGTTTCCAATTCACGCTCCCTTGGATTGGTAGCGCTGCATGAAAGAGGTATCCCCTGGTATAAAGGATGGATATTGCAATGGGCATTCAACCCCAATAACCACTAGCGGTGTAATCCTAATCAACCGAAAACATAAACAACAAACAAGGGTATATGCCCTATATAGTTCAAAAGATTTAACCAAGAGGATTCGATCAAAAACCATATGGCATATGATATATGCCGAAAAGTGTCAAAACCAGCTTCTCCAACATTTCAATGAGATCTTTTGGTGTTGGTGCATCTGAGACTGGCTCTGGCTCATCATCAGATATCTCAAACACCTGTAGGGTGCTCAAAGAAAAATGCAGAGTAGACTGATCCAGCCAACAACTCTAGTATATACATGCAGTTAAAAGAATCTATCATATAATTAAACCTCATGGATGATGATAGATGGGAACATCAATATATATCGATGATGGGTGAAAGATGTATATATACTATAGTATATATACGGCACATGAAAAATATTGTAAATTTCATATCCTGCAAAGTTTTGGGAACCACATGTAACTGCATGGTAGGCCTCCTTCAGATGCGAATCACTGGGTGAAACAAGTAGCTGAGACTGGATTGATCCCGACAAAGTTGGAGAGTTCTGTTCACTTACCGATGGTGGGTCCACCAGTGTGTCACCCAATGGCCCAGCAGGAGGCTCAGAGGCTACAGTGGTGGGGCTCCCAGTAGTGTCAGCACTGGCCAGAAGTGACTCAGCAGAGCCACGACTGGAAGGAGTGGAGTCCGGTGGAGGCCTCGTGATGGGCACCCATGCCTGGCACCGTTCAAGGTGATAATAACCCAAACTTGTTAGATGATTACATGCGAGATGAAGACTAGCATGGATATGTCAAGAACAATAAATAACCCATTTTCATGGTGTATTTCTCACATCATGATCCCTAAAGTTGTTTCGCCATTTGCTTCTGATCCAGAAATGCACGGGTTCCCACAGGTAATGTCGACATGGATCAAACTATAGAAAAACCATATTCAACGTTATTTTCATCTATATAGCCTTTATATGCCAGCTTGCCTCTATATTTTAGTTTTGAGTTATATATATAATACACACCTTAATCTTGACATAGTTGTTCACATGCCCATGAAATGCCACAACTTGGCTTGCTGCATGTTTTGCCAATATTGGTTGCAAGAAGGCAACTACATAGCATTCAATGCGAAATGCTTGAACACATGCTAAGCTCAGTCGCATGCTTTACATGCAAACAAATGCAACTATATAAGTCATATATATATGCGTTTGCTTTCTTTATTGGACTTGTTTGGAACATGCTTGATTATTCCACTTACTTGATGTTGGACCAATCTTTATAGAGCCTCTGGACCCCAGCAGCTGCCTTGACATCCATTCCAAGCTTTGTGACGAGGCTGATGAAGCATTCATCCTGCGACTTTATGCAATGGAGGACCGCTGGGAAAGGGCTCATGTGGAGATATCAATACATTTGATGCAAATTGGTGGGTCGCATTCACTTTCATGTTCTTTATAGCCACCATATGCATGCATGTATATAGTCCCTCAAAGTTGAAAACATGACAGAGCCATAATAAGCCGTATACATAAAAATGATGATTTTTACAACTACAGTCCTCAGGAGGATGTTTCCTGTAGCATTGATTCTTGACGACTTGGATAAGTCGCCTCAATCCCCATGCCTGTTGATAGCAATGCTCTAGCAACCTTGGTTTCTTTGCCTTTCGGTAGAGGCAATCGATGCACTGGATCAAATTATCCAAGTTGGGGACTAGGCGATCATTGGCACCCATGATCTCCACTAAAGGCTCAAGCACGATCTGGTTGGCTCTAACAGTCTGTACATTCCCTTCGACATATTTCTGTCAGGGTTGTAACTTCACCGTCATCATGGACTCCCCTCAACAAGTTGTGATCTTCCCGAAGACGATCCCGAATGATCTCATGATTGTCCCAAGTCGTAGCTAAGTTCAGAAGATCGTAGTTCCCAACCCGCTCCCGGGGAGATGGAGATGAAGATGAGTGTGGTGAGCTAGTTCCAGAAGAGGATGCCTTCTCCGTTTTTTTTCTCGGCTTGGACTTAGCAGCCCGGGCCATTGCAGCTATACCCTCAGATCCCAACCCCAATGATTTGGATGTGGACACCACCTTGCAGCCCAAATGGCCGCTGCACTGCAGGATCCACAAGTGAGAGTGGCTACATCGATTCTTGGAATCTGCTTTGTGTCGCCAAGCCGACATCTGGACTATATAATGCATATATGCATTGACTGCCAAACTATATGATGTAAATAGGATAGCTTTTTATACCACACCTCTAATATATGAAGATATTTCATATCCGGTGGTTGCCGATGAAATTCGTATATGTATATATAAATTAACTTGGATTAACTCCAGCTGGATGTTTCATTGTGTTTGGCCAAATGATAGAAGTCTGGGTCATATGGTAAATACCCATGCATGCAAGCATGCTTCCCCGGCCCCTGCATGTACAGCAGCTGCAAAAAAAAGTCTGGGGTACCAGTGGTGCCATGGAAGCTTTATCCCACATCATTGCTCACCGGTGGCGGGCAAGGTATGGCAAGGGATGGCAAGGGTAACAAAGATTATATTGAGTTGGTCTGTGTTCTTGTTGAAGGGGTTTTGCCATCTAGATGAAATCAATATTGGTCATATTCTATATTGGCCTGCCAGTCTGTTGGTTATGTATCCAAAAAGTTTGATTTAAAATGGCCATGCTGGCATGCGGGGGTCATTTGCACCCAATGAAGTGCCGCTTGATCCAAGATGAGCCTGGCAGCAAAAGGCACCAGCTTCAGCTGATGGGTCCTGATGGTCCATGCGTGTCTTAGATGGGGTATGTTATATATAAATATATATTAATATATGTCCGTGATCAATTGATATAGCTTCATCTATCTCAATCCAGTACTGGTCTATATAATGAGAGCTGCATGAATCCCGATATATCCAGATCATATTATAGCTCAATGCCAATCAACAATGCCATGACCTCAAAGTTAAGGGGTGCTTTGGATAAAACCTTTATATAGAAATAAGTGGTGATTTGGGATAGGTGCAAAACCATCAGAAATAGGTGCAAAACCATCAGAAATAGGTGCAAAACATTGCCAAAACCATCAGAAATAGGTGCAAAACATTGCCAAAACCATCAGAAATAGGTGCAAAACATTGCCAAAACCATCAGAAATAGGTGCTGTTTGGGTGGATGAATGGATGTCTTGAAATCATGAATTCCCTCTTGAACGGTTTTTAACGGTCTGGAGAATAATTACTCTAATAAGCCTAGAAGAGGCAACATTCCTTTTGAGTTGGATAATAAAACACCTGGAGTTGATCCAGGTATATAATATCCATTGATATCCATTCATATCCATTCATATCCCATGAAATCATCATGAAATCCCATTTTTTTCATCCCCGACGCCATTTTTTCGACGAGCCACTGGCAGAAGGGAAACCACGAAGGCCAGTGATCCAAAGCCAGGAAGATTGGAATGGCTCCACCTTGCCCGACCCGAGAAAAATGGCGAGTTGTGAATTTCCCATAGAAAAATGGCCATGGAAATAGCTAAGTAACCTATATATCTATAATATAGGTATCCCAATATCTATGAGTTAGACTGTTGCTCCCCCGTCTTTCTCATCTAACCGCCCACTTTATAATACAAGCAAATTCTATGGGGTTAATACCAAAGACAGGGGAGCAACACCTTATAGAAAACAATAACATAAATCATAACAACAAAACAACAAAACAAAAAAAACTGAAACAACCTAAACAATACAATAGATTATAAAAAAAGACTATACCATAAATCATAACAAAAAAACAATTTCACTTTTATAATTTTGAAATTATAAAATGAAATTTATGTTTGCTGTTTCTTCAAGTTCTCCAGATGCTTTGTTGTTTGTGCGTGTCTCTTGTAATTCTTACATTGAATTTCATAATCATCACATACAGGGCAGGTCATCCATTCTATTTTAGCATTGACTTGTTCAATGTTTTCTGCTCTATGATTTCTTCTTCTTTCATTTATTTCTTCCCTGTGTGTCCTACCATAATTTCTAGCATATTCCTTTGCCTCCTCTATATGATTGTAATAATAGTCTCTCCTCCTTTCATTATATTTTTCTTTGTTCTTTTGATGATTAGCCCTCATAGATTCCCTACATTTATCACAAGTTTTGTATTTACCCTCTTCCATTTCCTTAAAACATTTAGCACACTTGACTTTAGTATCCTCCATTACCTACTATAGATAGGTAATAACTCTTTAAGTGTCTTTCCTATCCCTTTTCCCTAGATTATAACATAATCAACAACACAATCATAACAACACACAACAAAAGAAAAAAAACAACATAGACAATACCCTAGATTATAAAATAGTCTATACCATAAATCATAACAACAATAGCAAAATCAAAACAACCTACTACAAACAAAATACAAACAAAAACATAACAACAAAACAACAATAACAAAATCCTAACAACCTACTATTAATAAAACCAATAACATAAACCATAACAAGCTCATCATATAAACCCATCTCATCCGTCTCATCCGTAAAAATTATATAATATAATCATCATAATTGTATTGAATAATTTTCATCAAAGCATATACAAATATACATCATCTTACCTTATCTATTTCATAGGTGTTATTTCTAGAAAACTTATTTGCTTGAAATAGTCCTAGAAAATAATTGCGACATAAATTTAATAGAATTATTTTATCAAATTTATGGGGATAACCAACATAATTTTCATAATCATTTATTATGAAGATTATGGGATTAATTACCACAGTCTCCCCCTATAGGGGAAGCCTCAGCCCCCAGCCAATATACTATCCCAACTCCCAGCATACATACCAGCATACATACAAACTAGCATATCACAACAGCATCACATCTTTCTCAACCCCAAATCTCTTTAATGACTGCAATTACCACACCCAAACCGCCCTTCATGAACTTGTTGATAACCATGTCTTCTTAACCTCAGCGCGGTGTAAATGGCACGCCTGGGGCGAAATGGATTGAAAAAGATTTGTGTGGTGTGCGTCCAGACTTGTTGGTGCCAATCTTCTCAAGTTTTTGGAAGGGTTTGTCTTTGTATCAGGCATGAATGCACTGGATGTCAAGCTTGTGAAGGCTCACTGGCATACATGCTCTATTGAAACAATGCCTACCTAAATACTGTGCATGCAGACCTTTTCAATCGCAAAGGACCTGCTCAGAGCACTGTTTTGCTTTGCCCTGTTGGCGAAGCAAGCCTTCTCATGCACTTTCGTCGTCGCAAAATGTCATCGCCAAAATTGGCGAGTAACTGGCATGAAGAAAGTGATGACTGTCTCAACGCCTTCTGCAACACTGAGGACAGGCGAGCGGACAATAGTGGCAAAAGCAGGAAATTCCTCGCCGACTGCTCGACTGCCTCTGACTTGCCCTTGTTTTGTTACAGCTCACTTTTTTTTGCGAGGCATCCTCATTGGATGTGCTGTTGGTGTCTGCAGCCCCAGCGCTCAATGCAAGGATGATGAGGCAAGCGAAAAAAAGGATTGGCGCCATGGAAATTGCCGACACCCCTGAGCTAAAAAGCGTGCCCCAGTGGTTTGAGCAAAAGATGCTGAGAAATGACACAAAATTCCAAGCTCAAACTGCAAGAGCTAATTTCTGTAGCTTTCCAATTGAGAATGTCAAAGATGCTCAAATTGAAACAAATTCCAAGTTCAAGCTCTCCAAGAACATGTGGCTTCAAACCTCTGACTGGCATATTCCCAACAGCTGAGCGCCCCGACAACAGGATGAAGAAGAGATTGATGACAAAGCCAAGGCGAGGAAGGGCAAAGGAACATGGAGCAATCCCAGCCAATGACCACATCAAATCAACCATCTCATGGTTGCATCAAGTAGGCATAAGTAAGAAAAAAATGAACTTACAAAGCTTTCTAAAAACACTAAATCTTTAAAAGTTCGTGCCTCATCAACAATCTTGGGTAATCAGTCAATTTGTAATATTTTTGGTTCAACTTTTCTGCAATCTCTTGCACAACATAATAACCATTCAGCCAGTGGGAAGTTCTTTCTTTCTCTGTAATTGCTTTCTTTCTCTTAATCTTTACCCTATCACCAACATTCAACTCAGGATAGATTTTTTCCTTCTTTGCCTTTGATGCTACATTCAGCATTGCCCTGAATTCATTTTTATCCTTCCTTGCTTGATTAGGTGTCATACCTGTGGCGGAGTGTTTCATCTTATCATTATATGTGAGCATAATTTCTAAATTGTAGTCTGTCCACTGTATATTCTGCTTTTCAGCTTTTTCATCAGCTTCAACTCTTTTGAAAAGCATATCCTTATACGTTTTTATGAAACGCTCAGCAAAAGCGGGATGACCTCTTGTTCTATACAACTCAATACCTTCACCTTCCACATAATTTTTAAAGTCTTCACCTGCTATGGCACGTTCATCATCAGTGTAAATTATTTTACTGTTCTTACCCATTTTCTTTAATGCCTCTTTAGTTGCCTCAAGGACATCCTCACCATTTTTTGTTTTAATTGGAACTACCACCGCAAACTTGCTTAAAACATCAATACACACTAACCCACCTCTATATTTTTGTTCTTCATCAAAATCATAATAACCCACAAAGAACAAATCTATCTGGAACGTGTGAAAATTATGTGGTGCTATGAAGGAATTATGACCTCTTGGCTTTGCTTTTATTTCTACATTCCTTTTAAAGAATTGTTCAACATCTGACATTTTTATTGTCGGTTCTTTCTCTCTGGCATCTTTTAAAGTAGTAGCCTTGCTTCCATAGCCACTTCTATCAAAATAAATATCACTAATAATCTTCTGCTTATTATCAGCCATTATATTTATAATGATATTTTATTTGAAAAAGCGCAATTACAAGACACACAATAACCTTTACAATTATCTTTAAAGTGAGCTTCACAACAATTAACTCTTTGACAGGTTATATTTGATGAAATCCTGCCATCTTCAAAATCTATCACCAACGGTTCATTACAATTCTCACACTGGGTATTCATCAGGTTCATCAAAAAATCTACATCAACATAATCATTTCCTTCTACATCTCTACCTGCTTTCTTGTCTTGCTCAATGTAATTTAAAACCTTTCTCTCAAAATACTGCTCTACTATCCTTCTAGATTTACTTTCTTCACCTTCACTATATTTGAAAAACTTAACTCTATTGAAATCAGTAGCCCTTGTGATACTTGTAAAAAACCAATTCTTACTAACATACCATTCATTCCAATCATATATGACTATATCACCATCAACACTACAGCCCTGCTTTGAGTGAGCGGTGTAGCAGTAAGCATAAATAAAATGTTTTCTCAATAGTTTCAGTTCTATATTTTGCTTCTCACCAGTTGCCACATTTTGTAAAACAACAATATCGCCAACAATATTCACAATCCTAAATCTAAAATTGACATTAAATTTCTTCCCTTTAGTCTTCATATATTTTCGGCATATAACTTCCTCACCAATAACATATTCTTCAGTTATATTTTTCAGTTCCCTGATTTTGCTTGAAACCATTGTACAGGTGTTGTTTGTATAAGCAATGTTATTCTCATACATTTCTATCTTGTCAGTCCATTTGAAATATGTATCAATGATTTCTCTAAAAGATGTGCCTTCAAAAATCAACCTTTTAACATCTCTTAACTTTTGCCTATCTTCTTCAGTCTTCAATCTCTTACATTCATAAAGCATAATATTATTTTTGAAAATTAAATTAATACAATGGTCAGCATATTTTTCAAAAGCAATTACATTACTTACACTCTCAGGATTTTTCAATTGCTTTGTATCACCTGTTGCTAATACAATCTTATCAGGATTATTTTTCTCAAAGTCCCATATCAAAGCCCACTTGCCCACATTTTGAAAATATATCTCATCAAACACTATGACATCATAACCTGAATAGTCAAACTTTTGTAGTCTCTCATCTCCAAATGAAATACCAAAAAACTTATTTATGGTAGTCCATTCACAACCGCATTGTTGCCCTAACTCATTGCTATGAACAACAAACAACACTTTGTAGTTTCTATTTTTCAAATGCTTACATATATAACTCTTGCCTGAACCTGCGAACTCTGCCCTAACCATCAGCCTCCTATTGGTCATAATATGTTCATCTATGATTTCATCAGTGTTCCATTCATCCTTCACCTCACCTGTCATATTAAAATATTCAGTTATATCACATAATACACTGGGTTGCTTACAAAAAGCCTTGCTGGGAAAATTGAATTTGTCAGACCACCTCCATTCACCAATCTCACTACCGAACTTCAACACCTCCCTTGCTTTTGCTAAATTACATTTATCTATAACAAAGGCATCAGTTTTTACTGAATACACCATTACACCATCCCTCATAAGTGTTTCATAAGCCTCATTCATATCAAAGTTATGATGTTGTAAAATCAGTT